AGTCAAATTATTGGTTGCACTTGTGCAAAAGATATACGCATGGTACAATTAACTGACACTAGGTGGCGTGCGTATTATACCGACTATTTATTTGAAAGTTATAGAAAGTTATATATCATTCTAATTCAATGATTTTATTATCATTCCTAGTTATACAATATAACTGTTCCACATTTTTAACGATATTTCCACAATTATTTCTACTGCGGCAGCAATGCGCCGGGTACGAGCTAGCAAGATAATATAAAAGAATATAAACTTTGAATTACATAGTTATCAGTTATTTACAAAGTCATTTTAGAAATTGAAATCACAATATAAAATATAATAAAAAAAAATTAAATTATCATAAAGTCCTACTTTCTGTGGTATCGTCCCAAGAATGCTGGCTACGTGTCCTCACTGAATGGCTATACTTAGTCTTCAAGCGAGGAAACAACAAACTAAACAACTTCTTATTACCAGCAGCGATGATCAGTCGCAGATACAGTTTTTTAGGAACTACACCACAGGTGCACCCTACGGACCAATAGTCTCTACAGCAAATTGCACAAATATGTACTTATCTTCCAGATACTCTGGGCTATTTACTTGGTTCAGTTGCCTCTAATGCCACCCCTGCTTTAGACGAGGTACCCCTGAGATGGGATGCTGTCAAAGCGTTCGCAAGTAGTATCCCACACTAAAGCTTTATCTCTCTCTCTCTCTCCTCTCTCTCTCTCTCTCTCTCTCAAGCAACCAAACCCATACCATCGGGTCTCCTGGTATCGTCTCTAAATATTCTACAAAGATCTTAAACCGAGGAAACATTAATAGACATACGAGTTGCACTACGGACTCCTCGAGCCCGATATGTGAATGGAGCCAGGGAAAAACGAGCACTTGGAAGCATCAAGTGGTGCAGCCTCACCAAAGTCGCAATAGATAGTCGAGTGGCGCATCGCCTTTACGACTCTACCTCGACTACAGCTGTCCAGAAAGAGGAATCTCCTTTAGCCGCAGCACAATAACACACATCCAATATGGCTTGACATCATCAGGCGATCTTTAGACACTTGGCTATGGCCCTTGAGTTTAGTGGAAAATGAGGAAAGAAGAAATAAAAAAAAAATCTAGTTAATTTGATTTAAAAAAATCTTTTTATTATTAATATCTAAGGCTAAACTAAGATAGTAAATGCTTCAGGTTAGCAAAGAAAACTACTTATTGTTAAAACGTAACATTTATTAAGGTATCATTTTACTACAAACTACATGTTTTTTTTTATTTCACTCAAACTAAATGATAGCACATTCAGTCACAAACACACAAAGGAATTTTAAACAAAGGCTCAGGTAAACATTCCTGCTTTGCGCTCCATTTTGTTACCAGGCCGCGGGCGCCACACCGACCGCGTCCTTTTTTGACCTCGCTCGGTCCTGCTAGTCGTTCACTGCTTTCCCGCGTGCAACCACTACTCACGTTTCTTTGTCTTATTTGACTACCTTCGCTTTGTTTCCCGGATTCTTGATTTGCCTTACGATTGACCTGTGCTTGTTTTATGGACCTTGAGTTGCTTAGTGATTCTGATTACTTTCAGCAATGAGTTATTCTCTCAGTCAATACGCAGAGATGCACTATTTCTACGGCGTTGCCCAAGGAAACGGCGCATTAGCGGCACGGCTTTATCGGGAGCAACTGGAGCGGCGAGGAGAAGTGTTAGAGCATTACCCGGGCTACAGGGTTTTTAATAGCACCCACGAAACCCTGATGGCTGGACGCGTTCCTGGGCGTAATCAACGTCGCGAGGGACTACCCAGAGAGGATCCAGAAAGAAGAGATGTAATCATTGAAGAAGTAGAAAGAGACCCTTCTACTAGTTCACGAGCGATTACGAGAAGGACTGGAATCCCAAGGACTTCCGTTTTAAGAATACTGAAAATCTCACAATTACATTTTTAATGTTAGGCTGTTTAGTGTGAACATTTTCAAAAAAAGGATAAAAAAATCATAACTCGAAAACTACAAAAAATCGCGGCGTATTTTCGGATACCCCTAGGTGTGAGGAATCAAAAAAAATAAAGATATTGATATTTAAACTATGTAAATGTTTAAATATCAATATCTATTATAAATTTTGCATCTTAACTTATGTTTGAATAAATTAACCACTTATTTGTAAAACTTTAATATTATGTGAATAACAAAAACTAGAATAACTCCTAAACATAATAGGTATGACCAACATTTATTAGGGCATTTACATATATATTGGGGGCCTAACATCTAAAAATGTTGACCCCCCCCCACAACCATCAGATGGGTGAAGTCGATGCTCTCCAACAGAAAGGCAAAAATAGCGCTGTTTCAAACTTCGATTGAGGTTGCAACCACAAGAGACTGCCCACAAGGAGGTTTTTTGTCACCCCCTTCTTTGGACTCTTGCGGTAGACTAACTATTGTACAAAATGGCAGACCTACGCATTGACATATTGGGTTATGCTGATGACCTTGTGATCATTGCGAGGGGCTTTTGCCAAAGTACTTTATCGTCAATAATACAAAGAGCCCTAAACACCATAAATAACTGGTGTAGGGATAACAGTTTATCAGTTAATGCTGATAAAACTGTTATAATACCCTTTACCAAAAAGAGACGGTTGAACATTGATTCTTTAAATAATTATCGGATTTTATCGCGTTTAATTATTTTTTTTTTTATTATCCCCTCGGGGTTAATAGGTTTTTTGGTTGAACAAATTAGTCCAACCAAAACTTAATGGCAAAGAAGTACCATTTTCCACGGAAATTAAGTATTTGGGCGTAACAATCGACCAAAAACTAACGTGGAACTCTCACCTTAGCAACGTATGCCATTAGGCAAAAATTGCTTTAGGTACGTGCAGTCGTTTGGTCGGAAACAACTGGGGCTTGCGTCCCAGTATGGTCCTATGGCTGTACAGCAGCATAGTGAGGCCGATTCTCACCTACGCCTCTATTGTCTGGTGTAACAAGGCCAACCAAAAGACGACTGCGGACAGACTAAATAGTCTACAAAGGACTGCCTGCTTAATGGCAACTGGAGCTATGCGATCATCGCCTGGAGTTCTCTATCTAGACAAGGAGGCGAGGGCTAGTTTGTATAGGATTAACACCCAGGGCGGTCTGAGCTTGCTCTCCTACAGATTGAGATCCATGCTCGACTCAATTAAGGAATCACCGGTCTTATGCATGATCTCAGATATCATGCGTCCACTACACACTTTTGATATAAAGTATATAGTGGAATTACCCTCCAGAGAAGACTGGCTGAATGGCCAAGCCAGGTCGGTAGCCTCATATGGTATACCGATGGGTCTAAAATGGGCCTCGACGTAGGCTTTGGAATTTATGGGGAACGCCCCAAATTCAAACTTAGTATGAATTTGGGTAGATACACCTCTATCTTCCAGGCAGAAATTTTCGCCATACTTCGGTGTGCGGAAATCAATCTGCAAAAACACTACGTCAACCATAAAATTTACATAAACTCTGATAGTCAAACTAGTTGGAGACTGCGTGAACCGTTTAAACGCCCTGGGATGTAACAACAGGGTCGTTTTAAGATGGGTTCCGGGTCACGAGGGTAAAGTAGGCAACGAATTTGCCGACAACCTTGCACGCGAGGGCTCAAAGTGCACACAATTTGGACCTGAGCCATTTTGTGGAATCTCAAGAAGCCTAGCCCGATTGACCCTTGAAACTCTTTATCACAATAAATCGCTTAAGATCTGATCTGAGACACCAGGCATAAAACATTCTAAACCCTTAATCCGGGCTTTTGATCGTAAATTCGTTTTAGAAGCCCTGGGATTAAGTAAAAATAAATTGCGCATTCTGGCAAGAGCCCTAACTGGACACTGTTGTCTTAAAAAGCACATATCCATCCTAGGACTAAGCAACTCAAGGATGTGTCGGTTCTGTTCCATAACGGAAGAAACGCCTCTACACATCCTAAGCGATTGCGGACCCTTAATGCGCAAACGTAACACTCATCTGGGACACTATCTACTCCGCCCAGAAGAAGTGAAATTGCTCACGGCTAAACAACTCCTTCGATTCATTGAAGACATAGGGCTTAGCCGTGAACTATAGCCATAGCAGCGATCACAATAGATCTTTTAGGTCGCAGTGATACTGGTCTCTTTACCTAGACCTGCATAGGCATATAATAAAAAATGAAAATAAAAAAAAACATTTATTTGTAATTTGTTCATGCTCTGTACTAGGAATTTTACCAGTAGAGAACGTGGTAGATCCTTAAATATAGCTGCAGGATAGCTATATTTGTAGTATAGTTGTAGCACGAATGGATTGGCTCGACCGGGGAAGGACCTTCTTCTCACAGAATACATCTTAGTCCTCACGGGTGATAATACATTTGCATTTTGATTCATAATCGAGGATAGATGTAGATATCTATGGATCACAACAACTATTTACCATCAGGTGGACTGTGTGCTCGTTTGTCACCCATATCCTATAAAAAAATGCATAATGGATATATGTGAAAATGTGATAAACTTTTTTCTAGAGGCAAATTCTTTGAATCACTGCCCTTGACAGACGGATTGATGATTGGAGAGTTAGGCGTCTTATACCTAAGTTTATCTATTAGAGCACTCTTATGCGAACGACAATCTATCAGCGAAGGGACCAGCAGTGTCGTTGCTTAGTGCCGGCAGCGTTGTCGCCAAGTCGAATTTTTGAGACATATTTTTGCTTTGATTTTTGACAAAGAGCTGTCAAGTGTTTGTTGCTATTTATGAAAAAGAAATTCAATTGTGTCGTGCAAAACGTAGTGTTATTTAGCGCCGTGCGATGTGATGTTAAAAGTCGTTGCTTACGCTGCCAGCCACGGCAGCAACTGAGTGTCCTTCATCTTAAAGCGCCTTTATATCTCCCCATGCAATTTCAGTAAATTCTTCCTGCTATATGGTTACAAAAGTTTTTATCATAATTTTTTGATATGTTTATTTCAGATGATGATGTCACAGACACTGCTTCTGAAATGGCATCCACCATGAGTGAAAGGACTGGATATTCTGCAGCAACTGAAACTTCTACAACTTTGTCTGTTCAAGATGCTTTAAACAGTAAGTATTTTAGTAAAAAAGTGAAATTCTCACTTATATTAGTCCTACAGCAAGCTGAGCTCAAGCCTCCTTTCATTTTTGAGATGGTTATGGAGCAGTTAGTCCGCTGCTATGCTACAATGTGGATTGGCAGACTTCTCATGGTATAAAATATTTTTATTCCTCACACGTCTAAGTTTTCTCGCAATGTTTTCTTTTACCGTTAATCATATGGTAAAGCAGCACTGAAATTTGCAATTAATTTTTTATCGATGCCATCTGGGATTGAACTCAGGTTGCTTGTGTACTATTAAATTTTCGCGAGCGCTTATCCCCTGAGATACACAGTTCTCAAGCGTTTGTTATAGCTATTTCGTATTTTTTTTCGTTAATATAAATTGCATTGATATTGCAAATTTCATGTTAGAGCAAAATTTTTGGGAGCACCACAAAATTCCATTCTTTATACTTTTTTATTTATTACATAAAATATAGATTTCAAAAATATGCAAAATACTATTCTAATAAATTATTAGAGGTTATATACATCGACTGAATAAGGCTGTACAAAATTCTTGCTAAGGCACCTCAAACAATTACAATACATAAAATGTATGTATAATATATACACTAATATAAAAATTGTTATTAATTGTTGTCTTAAATGAATACAATTGACATACTAAGTGTAATTGTACACTAAGTGCAATAAAGATTTTTCAACATCATGACTACTGCTGGTAGCAGATTTGCCCATACTTACCATGCTAGGCAGCTAGATGAGTGCAGACCTGTTTATGACATAATTAATGAAATGTGATAATTTCTGAACTGATGGGTAACATAAAGCGAATCAAAAAGATATTTTTCTCTACTGTGGGAAAGCTCCATGTCAAGTAGTTAACTTCTATGAGCTGATGAAGAAGAAATAAATTATTAATTTAACATAATATTTTATTGACTATACTTTGCAGTTCCTGGTATAAGTGAAAGTTTGGCAAATACGCTAAAACAAAAAGAACTATTAATGGAAAGAATAAAACAATATAAGGAGATCAGTAAAAGGCCCATTAAAAAATCTACACCTATTAAGTCGGAGTCACTAGCAGATACTTCCATGCAAGATGTGAAAAAGGTAAATAATTCGCTTCGTTGGAACTTATCTGTTCAGATGCTTTACAAAGTACCTATAAAAGTAAAGTTACAGCCTATATACGTCCCACTGCTGCGCACAAGCCTTCCTCTCATATCTGAGAGGGTTTTAGGGCAAGGAAGTGTCCGCCGCGCTGCCCCGATGCGTGTTGACGAACTTCACATGTCTTCGAAATATTTTATTTTTATTTCTCAGACATGCAGGTTTCCTCACGATGTTTTCCTTCACCGCCGAGCACGTGGTAAATCAGCACTTAAAATTGCAATTGACAATTGCATTGGTGATCGAACTAAGGTTGCTCGCGTACTGTGAAATTTACAGCGTGCGCTAACCATCTGAGCTACCACGGCTCTTACCGTGGTACAAAGTACCTATATAAAGAAGTTTATTACACGCTTTTTACATTTCTTAGCATTTTTATAATATAGGATGTAGATATTATTCTGATTAATTTCAACCTATATTTACTTATTTGGCACTGGTGGTAGTGAGTAGTTTGTTATGAAGACAGCTTTATTTAATTTGAGTTACAGGGTGCTCAGTTCCAACTTACTGTCAATTTTATTTTATCGCTAATTTTAATAATCATTTGGTCGTATTTTATGCCATTTTTTTCATACAATATGACTGTGAAAGACTAGGAAATATATTAGTTTCTGAAAAATGACCGAAAACTAGTATCTCTGGTGCAAGACATCTGGTATTTAGATAAATATTAAGTCTCATTTACATTCAGCCCCTGCCTCTACTCCTCGCGCTGCCGGCCATACTTCGCTAAATACTGCCGTAGCAGGATCGAGAGAAGTGTGTATTTACATTCTGGCAGAATGTAAATACCACAGAATGTTTCTGCCCTACCACTCACATCACTTTCGGCTTTCGACTATGGCAGACGTCGAAATAATTACAGCGTCCGCGCTGTGTCTTTTTGTAATACAAAATTATTTTAATAATTCAAAAGATATCAAATTCAAAAGAAGATAGATAGATAGATAGAAAATTTATTTGTTTAAAAACATGGTACATGAGATGATCAATGACGTGGAAGTGACATGTTTTGCCATAATTGGCATGCAAAAATTATATGAAATACAGCTAATTACACAAACCCAATGTTACAGTTTAAAATTATTTCAATGCTTAAAAGTTATGTACATTATTTTTGAATTCAAATATTATGTACAAATAAATACTCATACAGATCCATTCTATTTGATTTCTTAATGACGTGGAACTGACATGTTTTGCCATAATTGGCATGCAAAAATTATATGAAATACAGCTAATTACACAAACCCAATGTTATAGTTTAAAATTATTTCAATGCTTAAATGTTATGTACATTATTTTTGAATTATTATGTACAAATAAATACTCATACAGATCCATTCTATTTGGATTCTTAATTTCTTATACAATAAATTGTTTACACATTATATATTACATTATTGTTACATAAATAATATTAAATATTATATGAGATTAGTTAAGCTATTATTATTTTAATAATTACACTACGTTATAAATTAATTCATAATTTTAGTTACAATAAAATTATAATTTTCGAATCTCAGGCTATTATGCAAATATTACCATTTAACTTAATACATTATATTACATTTTAATAAATAAATAATCAATATGAGTTACTAATTGTTTTTAGAAATAAAATTTCAATGTTCATTAATTCCTTAAACTAAATTTTATATTAATATAATAAATTTGACGAATTTATAATTAATTATGTACATAGGTATTATATTATCTCAAAAAAAAAACTCGTATTCGTAGAAGATGATGAATTATGGTTTTTATCGTTGAAATCCCATATAGTTTTTTCTGATTCCAGCAGTTCTAAAAACTTGATTGTATTTTCGTTACTCCACTCGAAAGGCATTTTGGCAGATCGTACTTATTTAAAAACAAGACGGCACGCAAGTCCGTTCGTCCAGGCGCTTGGCGTGAAGTGAGCGAAGGAGCAAAATGTGAACACTCAATGCCGCTCGCGCTGCCGGCAGCGTCGGGCAGTGGCAGCGGCAGCGGCAGTGACAGCGCGAGTAGCCTATTTACGTACTGCCCTGCCCACTTCCCTGCTCACTTCACTGCCCAAAAAGGCTGAATGTAAATGGGGCATAACTGCCTGCATCTGTTTCCAAATTCAAGAATTAATGAAGGTGAATGTTTCTCAACTAGTTCTACTCTATTATATGAGAAACTTAACATTTTGCAGGACGCTGATGCTACAGATTTTACTAGTTTAATAAACAGAATTAAAGAGAAAGATAACATGTTAAGTATATTGCAAGTAAAAATGAAGGCAATGGAAACAACAATATTAGATTTACAAGAGAAAATTAATGAAAAGGATCAGATAATTGAAGCTAAAAACAAAGCTACTACATTAATATCAGATAGCTTAAGTAAAAAAGGTAAGTGTCTCCCTTCAAGCCTTTGTTAAAAAGCATACTAATGAATTTATACATATTTTTATATTTCTTTTACAGAAAAGGATACACTTGATTTGCTTGAAGATACTCGACAGCAAATGACAAAAATGCAATCAAACTTTATAGCAATGGAAAGTGAGTGGAAAGCTGAAAAACAAAAATTACTTGAAGAAATTGATGAAAAGGATGAAAAAATTAAAAGTCTTGAAGAAGCTAACTTAATACTGGAAAATTCACGTTTTGAAGTCAGTGTCGCACATTCAAAATTAGCAGAAGAATTAGAATCCAAAAATAAAGAAATACTGCAGCTACAAGAACGAATAGAGGCCATTACGCACAAAAGTGTACAAGAATTATCTGCTGATGAGGGAGCTGATAAAGATGTTGATGAAGAAAAAGGTACTCGTGAAATTACTAACATGATGGAACTAACAAAAAAGATTGAATTATTGGAGCAGATAAACTGTCAAATGAGACAAACTAATAAAGAATTAGAGATTCAACTTGCTTCTATGAGTCTTGAGCAAAAATCAAGTTCTCCTAGTAAAAAAGCAAGCCCCCATTCAACTCGAAAAGGAGGTAGAAGTACTGCGTCTAAAACTAAATCTCCCTGGAGTAATTTATCCATTGATCCAGTGCATCCAGAAACCGAAAAGTCAAATGTTAAGAGTGACACAGTTAAACATGAAATGGTAGTGCAGTCCCTCAACAAAGATATTTTGGATAAAGAGTATTTAATATCGCAAAAAGATGACTTAATATCTAAGCTAAAATTAGAAATTGATGAGCAGTCAAGTACTATTAATAAATTAGAAATTAAAATGAAAACCCAAAATTCTGATGCTAATAAGGTGCACGTTGGTGTTTGTACTGAAGCACAAGACATTTTAGTACAACTTCCTATTAAAACTTCTGCAGAAGAAAGCAGAGGACCCCACATAGAATCACTGGATGAAAACATTATAGAAGATGTCAATACCCTTCAAGAAAAATTAAAATCAGCCCAAAATCAAATTGACTCACTTAACGAAGAAATAAATATAGCCAATAAAAGCATGATAAAAGTTAAGTCAAATTATAAAATGAAATTAAAACAAATGCAAAAAACTATTGATAACTTTAGCAAAGTATCAGATGCTAATGCTGAAATAGTAAAGCTTAATGAGGAATTACATCAGTTGTCACAGAAGGTTGCAGAGTTGGAGGAAGAAAAGGGAAACCTTCAGCTACATCTTGTTGATTATGATAGCGGTAGATGTAAGTATCATTCAGTATATAATATTTGTAAATGTATCTTGTAAGGGTGGAAAAATAGAGAATGAAGTTTATATTTAGTTATTTGGACATCTACATTTTAAATCGATTACATCAAAATTATTAATTAAAGTCTTTTAAAAAGATATTTCACAAAAATTAAAGTCTACTATTTAACTTCTGGAAGAGGAAAAAGCCAAAGATCGCCATTTTAATTTTGACATCATGGCATTTGAAATGTCGGGTAATTAAAATAGCCTTAATCAAAACCCAATAAAAACAAAAAAAAAGTGTTATTAAAATTTATTCTATGGCTATTTAAGTGAACATGTTTGTATGTTTTGGTCTTATAATATAAATTTTCTTATCAATTACAGTGACAGAATCGGAAGTTTATAAAAAGTTGGTGGAAATAGAGAATTTGGCAGAGTCAAGGCTTAAATCCATAACTTTATTAGAGACACAAAAATTTGAACTAGTTCAAGGTAATACTTTTAAAGACATTGAATGATACTTCTTTTTTGTTACCCGTATATCATTCATGTCGTTTTTTCTTTTTTTTTTAGAATTGCATCTTCTGCAACAAAAAAATAATGAAATGGAAGATAAATTAGCAGATATGGCTCAACTCCAAAATGAACATGTTTGTTCAGAAATAAAGTCTGTACAATTAGAAGAGCAAATTGATGAATTGGTAACCTCCAAAAAAGAATTAGAGATAGTGATAGAAAATTTAAAATTAGATAAGGAGCAATCATTGAAAACAATAAATGCTTTAGCAGAAGATAAGGATGACTTAATGCACAAATTAGAAAACATACAGGAAAACATGGAGTTAACAGATAAACTTGAGAAATTAAGTACGGAGAAGGTTAGTTCTGCTGAATCAATTGAAATGGTAGAATCGTTAACAACTCAGGAGAAGCTAGAACTCGAAGAATATAACAAAAATATGGGAACAAAACACGATGAGAATCAAACTGAGATATTTAAAGAATCTGAAGCAGGTGAAGAAAGTATATCAGAGTTTGTTGAACAAAGCGCTGAATTAAATAAAAGAATTGAATTATTAACTCAAGAAAAGCAAGCAGTAGTTGAGAAACTGAATAAAGTTTGTGCCGAAAACAACGAATTACAGGAAGAAATAAAAGAACTAAACGCTAATTGCTTAAATTTGGCAAACAGTATTGAAGTGCTAAGTAAAGAAAGAAATATCCTACAATCATTAAACGGTGAATTGAATAACCAGATAGAATTGTTAAAATGCGAAAGAATGGAAATTATTAAAGAAACTGTACAAATTGAAAAACCTTTAACTATGGAAGAAGCGACAGAAGTGACAAGTGTAGAAGCAACACATGATGATAAATCATTTGCTGATAAAGGCAATAACAGATCCAAATCTGTTAAGCAATTAACAAAAGATATTCTTAAATTAAAAACTACTATTAAAGAGCGAGAAGCAGAAATTGCAGACTGTCAAATGAAAATATTATCTCTCGAAGAACAGCAAGAGAAACAAAAAGAATTAGTGCAAAATATAACATCACTTGACAACAAGGTTAAACAATTGGTGGATGAGAATTCTCAATTAAAAAGAGAAATAGAAGCAACAAAAGTAGATTTTGAATCTGATCAGCAATACAAACATGCAAATGAAATGTTGCAACAGGAAATGCAAAAACTCCATCAAGAATGTTCAATGGCAATGAATGCTCGTGATAGTAGAATACACGAACTAGAAAACCTTCTTGTTGAATACGAGAAACAAATGTTTAGTTATGGAAATAGTTTACAGCAAAAAGATAAAGAAACCGCTGAATACATTAACCAAATAACTAAATTAAATGATATTTCACAAAAATTAAAGTCTACTATTGAACTTTTGGAAGAGGAAAAAGCTAAAGATCATAATTCAGAATTAGTAAAATCATTAAATAAAGAAATAATGATTTACCAAAAGAAATTAGGAGAGTGTGAGGAAAAACTAAGAATTCTCGAAGAAGAAAAAGTTCAATTGCTATCAGTTAGAACTGGTTTAGAAATGAAGTGTAATGATTTGGAATTAGAGTTAAAACAATGTCAAGAAATTATTGCAGAAAAACAGAGTACTATTAAAGAGTTGCAGGTAAAGCAGCAGAAATATGATGGAGAGCTATCGACAGTTATGTTTGAAGCAAAGGAACGAGATGAAGAAATTCATGAAATCAAGTTGCAACTAAGAAAAGAATCAATAGAAAATGAAAAACTACGCAATGAAGTGGATTCAAAGTCTAAAGAAGTGGAAGAGCTAACGAAACAGTGTTGTGAACTAAATCAAAAAGTAAATCTAATTTCCGATGGTAAAGATAATATTAATGAACAAATAATTGGGCTAGAAAATAAAAATAAAGAATTGTTAGAAAAATTAAAGAAATTCGCTATAAACATTAAGAAAAAGTCATCTTTATACAATGAACTAGAGGGGCAATATAATGAAACACAAAAACAACTAGAAACTAAAAATTTACAAGTGGAGCAATTAATGTTGGAAGTTGAAATTATACCAAAATTGCACGAGAAAATAAAAGAGTTGGAAAAGAAATTAGATCATCTTCAAATTCAAAAACAATGCAATGAACAAATATCTGAAGATGTTAACAATTTGAAAACAGAAAATCAGTTACTACGTGAAAAACATATAAACGCACTTGAAGAAATATCGAAATTGAATCTTTCATTAGATACGTCATACAAAGAACTAATATGTTCTCGTGAAGATAATGAAAATCTTAGAAATCAAATTGAAGCCTTAAATAATAAATTAGTTGAATATGAAATTGAACAGAAAAATAACAGTAATCTTCTTACAAAAATAACTTGCTTAGAAACTGATATAATTCAGAAAGAGCATCACATAACAGAATTATCGCGTCAAATTGAGGCGTACGAACAAAAGCTTACCCAACTTCAATTTGGACTTGATGCTAAGGTGCAAGAGCGAGATTTATTTGTAGAAACTCTACAAGCTGAAATAGACAAATATAAAAATCGTATTTGCCGTCTAGAGGAAAGCATATCTATCATGGAAGATAGGCGCCACTCTTTGGAACGTAAAGCAGATCAATTAGATACCCAATTACAAGAAAAACAAAAAGCTTACAGTGAATATACGAATCAAGAGGATGACCTTGTAAATCGATTAGCGGTTCTTATTGATCACGATAGAGTTGTTGAAAAACAACTTCATGAAATTGAAAATGAAAACCGAGAATTGCAATATAAAATTCAACATATAAATGAAGAAAATCAACGATTGAAAAGTTCATATTCTGATATGCTAGTCCAATGTAACTCTTTACAAGTAAAAGCCAACAAAGCTGATTCAGCTGAATCTGAGGCGGCAATGTACCAAAATCAACTTCACGATTTGGAAGCTAATCTTAAACGTTTGACGACCGAGCATCACTTGCTGTTAGCACAAAAGAAAGTAGATATTGAAGAGCTAGAGTCAGAATTTAACACACAAATTGAAAATGCTATTAAAGAAAAGAAAGCATTAAGCGAAAAATATGAAAGAATTAGTGAGTATGTTAGTCAATTAGAACATAAATTGCAAGAATACCGCGATAATATTGAAAACCTTAATATTAATTTAGAAGAATTATCTGCACAGAACCAAAATTTGATGGAAAAAGCTAGTAACGGAAGTTCAAATATTGCTAAAGATTATACTGAACAATATATCAATGAAATAAATAAGCTTAATGCTGTTGTCAATAAAAGGAATCAAGAAATTTTGGACCTTGAAAGTAAATTAAAAACTTTGCAAACAGACAATGTTGGGCTCATTTCTAATTCAGAAGCTAAAATGGCAGAGTTATCAACTCAATTATCAGATGCCACATTACAAATAGACAATATGACAAAACAACTAATATCAATTACTCAAAATAATGAACATTTACAAACTTTATTACTTCAAAAGGATGAGCAAATAAAATATTTAACGGAAAGGAGCAAGGTCATTTTTGAAATGAATATCCCAAAAACAGAGGGGATGACTATCTCATCCACAATTGAACATTTAAACGAACAAAGTGATCTTGAGATAGCAACCCTTCAATCTCAAATAGTACCCGAATCATTTTTGACCGAAGTTGAGCCTTTGCCTAAAAAAGTGACCGAAAATACTCTTGTATCTTCTAGCTCAGGTAATGTTCAGCCTCTTGAAGAAGTGAGTGAACCAATAGTTGTAGCTAAAAAATCTTATATTTGTTATAAAAAAGATGAGAATTTAAGTGAAGAAGACCCATTTAGTTCCCAAGAGGGCTGGGGTTTTGGAGGTGATGAAACCGAAAATTTAACACCAAGCTATTCGGACTTAAGTAAACAAATTGTACAACTTACGAAAGAAAATGAAAGAATAAAAGGCGAATTTGATACATGTAATACAAAGTTATTTAAAGCTCTTAAAAAGTTAAAGGAACTAAAAGCTACTAACGACATGCTTTCAAGTGAGCTTAAATTATCCAAACAGTTATCAGAAAAATCTATACTTGACACAGCAATAGAAAATGAACTATCATGCAATCTTGAAGCTTTGGAGAAAAAGCTACATGAACTAAAAATTGATTTAGAAAAAGAGAAGCGTGAAAAAGACGCTCTAAAAAAACAAAACGATATATTTAAAAACGCTAATGAGCGATTGACAGAAATGAAAGAAAAAATGGACAACGAATTAGAATTATGGAAATATAATTTTAAACAAGCAAATGATAAAATTTCTGCACTCCAGTGGGGCACGGATTCTAAGGAATCTCCTGTTCGTAAAATTTCATTATCTGGACTTGACAAGGAAGAAATTAATAAACTTGAGAAAGAAAATGAAGAATTACAGTTAATAATTGATGAAATAAATGCTGAAAATAAGATACTAAGAGAGAAACGTGATGAACTCACAAACCTGGTAAATCTGTTACAAAAGCAAATCCAGGAAAAATCGGTAATATGTGAAGATTGCAAGATTCTCCACAAAAAAGTATTAGAAATCGAGGAGAACAATATATCTCTGAAGAATGAAATCACTAATCTCATTACTGAATTAAAGGATCTTGAAGTCAAATATAAAGAAAGTCTTAACAAAAATGAACAACAGTCAAATGACAACAAAGAAAATCAAAGGCAATATGAAATGAAGATAGAAGAATTGATTATTAAGATGTCTGATTTAGAAGAGAAATATCATACAATAAATGGTTTGAAAACTCAGGCTGATGAAACTGTTAAGTCTCTAGCTTCAGAACTTGAAACTGTGAAATCAGAACTATTGTTAAAAGAAGAACTTAATTCAAATACAGTTAATACAGTCGATTATGTTGCGATGACGGAAAGGATGAGTTTTATGGAGGACCAATGTTTAAAAATGAAAAATAGTTTAGAAGATGCTGATAAAAAAATTCTATATTTACAAAATGAAAATTCGGAGCTAAAGGAGAAACTTCAAGATTACGTTAAACAAGTAGAAGAGTTAAATGTTAAAGTGAAAAACCTCAATATTGAAAATGATCAATTGCTATCAACCGTTGCTGAATTACGATCGTCTATGTCAAGTGCTGTCGATCAACGGGGTTATGAAATAGCTGAATTGTGGAAGCAGCATTTAGCACAAAGGGAGAATGAATTCCAAAGAATCGAAAATGAACTCCGAAATCAACTTAGTACAGCTGAATCCAAGTATGAACTTTTACTTGATAATGTTCAATCATCCACTCAAGATGAAGCAAATAAGCTTGTTGCTACTGAACAAATAAATTCACTGCAAAACAAGCTTCAAGAGAAAGAAGAATATTTAAGTAATCTTCAAAATAAATATGCTGAAGTAATTCATCAGTTGGATATGCATCGCTCTGAGACGGAGGATGAAAAACTACTTCTTGAAAACAAAATACTTGTGCAACAAGAAGAATACGAAAAGACTATTCGGGACCTAACCACACAAAACCAAATAAATTCGTCAGAATTAGAAAGTGCCAAAAACTTGCAAACTGAATTAGCCGCAACTAAAACTGTTAATGATAGTTTAAACAGACAAATTGATGAACTGCGCACTGGTTTTGAGACGAAAATACATGAATTGACTAGACAACTTCAAATAAAAGAGAGCGAATTGTATCAAAAAACACACGAGTATTCAACAGCAATAGCAGAACGGAACGAAGAATTCGAAAATATACGAAAACAGCTGCTGGAATACGAAAAGAAAATTGAAGATTTGACGTTTGAAAAAGAATCAGAATTAGCAGTTATAAGGTTAAAAATGCATGAAAACAAAGAAGAACACGATAAAATACAAACAGAGCTACAAGAAGAAAAGATCAGTTTGACAGATGCTTTAAATGCAAAAATAATAGAATGCACTAACCTTAATAAACAAATCAATGATTTAAATGCAGTTTTACAAGAGTATGCGACTAAATCTACAGAAATGCAGGAAGTCTTAGAAAATCAAGAGTTAGAAATAGTATCGTTGAAGGATGAGATATCAAAAATGCAGGAAGTAATGCGATCTTCAAGTGAGAAAATTGAAAAACATGTAACATTTTCTTCGGACACAAAACGTGACATAGGCAGTGATGAAACAGAAACTGTTTTTAATAAGGACCTTTTAGATGCAGTACCAAGAGCCGAGTTAGATATAGCCTTGTACATGTTACACCAACGAGATGTGCGCTGCGAGGAATTAACAATGGAACTGACTCAGTTATTAGAAGAAAGAGATACACTACAGTTGCGACTCTCTGATAGCTTACGGGCGTATGAGGACCTAAAGTCAAAGTGTAAACCTTCAGAGATTATTTCTTCGGATTCTAGACAAGATTCCGTTTCAGAATTACCTACATTCAGTATAGAGAAAGAACAACACTTTGTTGATACACATCGCGGGAGAACATCGCGAAGTAGTAGTATAAGTGATTTCGACAGCGAAAAACCTAAACTGCAAGCAAAGTAAGTAGCATATAATCTATATAGTCTATAATATAAATAATACTATGCTGGACATATTTCGACCTAGGTTCAGACCAACACTCACACACAAAACATTGTATTAATTTCAAGTGACGCCGAAACCGTTTGACCACCGTACGCACACTCACGCACACATTTATATAAGTCCACTGCTAGATGCACACATATGCACTTTAAACCATGTTTGTAAATGATTTAGTTAACTGCAAAAACAATGTTGGTAGTCTTTGAAGCTATCAATGGCAAGTGTGCGGACTAGGCCTATCAATTATTGGTTCTAATCTACCTGTAATCGTCGTAATGTCAGAGGTATATAAGTGTAATCGTAGAGCCGCGGAGGCAACCTTAACAAAACTTAACCGTAAAGTAACGCGGCAGCTATAATATAGCTGCAGCGTGAACGACTAGGCTCGCTTGTTACTCTTATTCTATACATATTGTATGCTCTTTTTATATTTAATTATAATGACGAAAAATTACAGTTTGTTATTTTTGCACAAAAATGGTAATGCCAACTGAGATTCAAACCCAAAAACGACTGCAGTAGATGGATATTTTAGCCACTAAACTGCGCGCCCTCAAACAACTATAGCGATAGCGTATTGTTATACCCGGTTTTGTTTCCTACAGTCGTGAACTGTTTGTTGACGTTTTATTTTGTACGATACCTCGTATGGAATAAGAAGTAAATGTAAAAATATTTTCCTTGGAGTGTTACTGTTGTGTGTTGTTCTCTTACCGGTCTACGGTTTCTTAGAGGCGGACGATTTTGATTCGAGCTTAAAGGAACCGGAGGTCCCCTTGCCCTTGGTCTGTATAAGAGCACCCGATTCGACTGCGCTCTTCAGGTATTTTCTGATAAACGGTGTTAGTTTTTCGGCATCGACTTTATATTGAGCGGCAATATACTTTTTTATCGCTTGCAGAGATAATCCACTGCGCTCCTTCAGCACTTTAATTGCTTTGGTGACCATTTCGGACGTCTTTGGATGGGTGGGTTTCGCCTTAGGCTTCTTTGCACCGCCTGCTGCAGTAGCGGTGTCCTTCGGTCTACAGATTTGCTCGATATTCACCGATCGTTTTGGTCTCTCGACAGGCAGTGTTTCGCAATCAATGAAATGTATCAGTGTTCTGGTACCTATAGATATTCCTCAAATTTGACGATATTTATTGATAAATATCGCAGCCGCATACTGTTGTAAGACTCATGCACGCACTTGCATCCGTCGATCCACAAAAATTGCTTGTTGAAAATGAAACTTATAATAAAATCAATACACTGTTAAATGTGTATTAATATTTTTCACTGCCTCGTTGGTCTAGTTGTTGTAAACGCGGTTGCAGATCGTGAGGTCTTGGGTCCGATCTGGCTAAAATCAGTTATTTGATTTTTCGTGCCTTTAAAATTTGTCTAAAATTGCAGGCTATGTGCCTTTCATTCACACATTAATAAATAACATACTTATGCGCAAATACTCAAACGGTATTCAATTTCAATTATAAGATGCCGTTAAGGCTCTTGCTGTCTCTATCACTTTATGTGAAAGTGACTGTGACACCACGATACTGAACGACATCTCAAAATTGAGTAGAGTTTGAATATTGAGCGATAGTCTTATCAATAATGATATAATAAGCTTTAACTGAACAGTTTTAAATTCAAAACGTCTTCAATTAAAAAAATTCTATTATTATAATACAGTATTTGACCAGCACACGCCATTATTTTTTGTTTATTTTATATGGACGTTTGCAAATGAACGTACCTCCAATCTTACATCGGGTAAATATGGGTAGATTGGAACGAGTCGTGCTATTGCATCCACTTGTACCATTTTAATACCAGTGCACAGTGCAGTTTTCGATGATATTTGTAGGTTATCGTCATGGTTATAGACAACTCCAATAACAGATTTTTAGGTTTAGAACAATAATAACTACGTTCTCTTGAATGAATTCAAATAAGGTGACAGATTTCAAAGCGCATCATCCTCATTACTTTTACGGTAGCTAATCAGCAACACTTTATGATATCGTTATCAGAAATCCGTCCGTGAAACAAACGGTGTGTGTTTTTATACAAAAAGGTTGCTGTCATTTCAACCCCCTACCCGCGGCCTAGTTGCCATGTTCTTTATTTTATATATTTAACACTAACATTTTTTATTTATACATTTTATACTAACATTTTTTTATTTATATATTTTACACTAACAAATATTTAAGGGGCATTGGCACTCGCCCTCTGAACCAGACCAACGCTTTCTGAAAACTTGACGTTTAAAGAGAAAAGGTTTAATATCTTCTAGCAGTCCTCTACCAGGGTAAAGTGAGAGCTCCCTTGAGAATCATCGTGACTAGTGCCAATGTGCTATTCACCAGCCAACTCGCTTGCCCAGCGTGGAGCATGTTGACATGTTGAAATCTAAAGTTACACATGCCTTATCGCGTTTTCTTGATATAAGTAGTGGAAAGGCTCTTAAGGCACACAGTATCACTTTAGAAATAGAAACAGAAACTTTTTTATTCAGTATATATTATTAATAATACTTATAGAAAGTCACTTAATTTGCCACTGGTTCGGAAAATACATCTGTCCTTGGAACCACCAGCAGGGACCCCTGGTGGAACATTTTTCTTAAAGAATAGCTTACAATCATTTTATATATTACACAATAATGAACAACACAAAACAAATTACAAATAGCTTGGTAGCGATCACCTCATTTCTCAGGGCTTATAATTAATACAGTCTTTACTATTTAATATTATGATAACTGTTTTTGTACAATCTTTATTTAATAAAGTTTTCAAACTTTGCGGAAGTCCGATATTGTATATTCTCCGGAATTTTCTTGTAAAAACGTATAGATCGCCCCAAGAATGAATTACTGACTTCATTAAGTCAAGTTACTGGTGATACTACTTTTTGTCTCTTCCTAGTATTTACAGAGTGAAAATCACTTAATATATTTTAGATTATAACTTCATAGTAATATTTTTACATGAGTACATTTCTGATAATAGCTTTGTGATCAGGTTGTCAGAACTACGCAGTGTAAAGCACAGCAGGGACGTTACACTACGGCACGAGAGCGAACAAAGGCAACTTGGGATGCGTTTGCTGCAACGTGACGTGGCAAATCTACCACCCGAAGCATTGGAACAACTCACACAGGCTCACCACACCCTATGTAAGTTTTATTATTTTAATAATTATTGCTTTTATCTGGTTTGGTCAATCAAACTCAAAAAATGATTTAAGAGTAGATTATTTCGAACTTTGATGTAATGTGTCGTTTTAAAATGCGCCGTGTCGTGGTGGCGTAATTTTATCCATTGATCGAATGTCTCTATGATTTTCTACACTCACCATACGAAGCAGGAGCATTAAGCTGCTATTTTCCGCTGGTATTCTGTGAGAGCGTGGTCCTACTCCGGTCGAGCCGACCCATTTGTGCTGCATCCACAATAAAGCTGCAGCACGGCTCCACCAGCATGTAGTGTGGCAACTATGGCAAATATCTCCATCTCTCCTCCCCTATGAGGTAATCTATAGGCCTATGCTCAAGTGGACTTACCTAGGGAATGATATGAAAATGATTTTAATGTAACAAAAACTCATCCTTCTAATCATCCCCAACCCGTGGACTTTCCATTGCTGGACAAAAACCTCTCCCATAAGTCCAAAATCGCCCCTTGGGTAGTTAGTAAAACTATACTAGTTTACGACGGACTGTTTTCCGCAACTTCACGTCTAAGCGCGTATTTTGCGTGTGGGCAGGAATAATGTGATTATTCGAGTTCAGTTCAACAGTTCTTTTTAATGTTGCTAGCAACTTCGGGGAGTAATCCCGGCGTGTAGAGATTTTTAGCTCCGTATGCAGCAACCTAAAGCCCCAAGGGGGCTTTAGGTCGCTGCATAGCTACGGGATGAGATGTAATGCTAATTTCTCTTTAACCGTCTACACACAACGTCATCAGTTCTTTGTAATGTATTATTTTATTTTCAGCTCGGGACACACAAAGCACCTCTACTGTACTTTTGAATTGGCTTCGGGGGAAGAGCACGCCTAAGGTAGTACATATGTAAGCAGCCGCCATTGTTATTTATTGTACAGAAATTTTAATTTGTATTTTATACAGTCAACAGGATCATTGCACATAATGTTTTGCCACCACTGCCCTAAGCGTTTGACAAATGTTTAATTCACTTAATCTGATTTGCCAGTAGTAATGCACCGAAAAATAACAAACATATCCTCCCTCTATTTAAAAGTCGTATGAAATTTATTAAATCGAGAGCGTTTACAAATTGCTTAACTCTTTGTCTTTCAAGGTGTTTAAAAGTTAGTGTACATGTAAACCTCACTGAAAGCATTATTTATTTAATAATGATAAAAACCGATGAGTAATAAAGTTGATAAAATTTTTGTGAGTATAACATAAGTTAAATGGTTTTTGACTTCTTATATTTTTTTCTAATGATGTGTCAGTTTTGGGTGCATACGAACGAACGATAAAAAATACGATATCTATCAGTAAATTTGTAAAAGATTTAGGTTTCAGAGTATTTATAAGCATAGCTTGCTTATTTATATTCTAAGGGTGTAGGGGAATTTTGTACTGGGACTTATAGAAAACATAACACAAACATTGATTTATTAAATGTATTCCAAACGTCTCTCGAACAGGCGAAATTATATTCCACATGTGTAACGATTATAGTGATAATTGGACCGCTGAATTTTCTTTTCCTTTTTTTAATCATAAGTAATATATTTCTATAAAATGGGAATTTGTAAAAAATATTGAAGATATTTTTAAATATCTCTATAATTTCATTACTTTACTTTAAAACCACTGTAAAATATAAGTTCATTTATTCTTAATTTACATTTTATTCTTATGAGCTCGAAAGGCGATTGGCAAAAAATGTTCCATGGCTTTTGATGCTATGAAATTAAGCAAAATATTCCTGCAGCATATTATGTGAACTAAATAGATATACCATAATAATAAATAAAGTGCTTTTCGCATTTATAATTTAATTAGTTGGTTTTAAAGTCAAGTTTTAATATAAAGAATCATTATATAAAAGCAAGATATGATTTAAAATCGTGCCTTTTTGATGTTTATAAATCAATATGTGTAATTAAAAGTATATCCGGGATGCATGTTTAACTAATAGACTTTCAACGAGCTATTGCTATTGAGTTGTACTTGATCGACCGAGCTACACAATCGAGAAACTACATCTCGGCGGACTGATTAGTAATTATACCTTCTACCTTCCTAAGAAAATTGTCGAAATTATTATTACGCATACCCCAGTTTCCTCCCCCAAAACTAGGCCAAATAAATTTTTTTTTTCAAAAAAAATTATCAGTAGAATGGTCGTTGTCTGTAAGTTTATCTTTTATGTTCGTAAAATTTTTTTGTCGACTGACGATGTCATTGAAAAATTGTGTTTTAAAAAAGCGTTTTGGTTTCTAGTTTTCTTTAATTTTACACATTTTTAACCTTTTTTTAATTCTTGTTCTATTCTAGCTCGGGTTATCCATTTCTAATCTAATTGAGACAAAATATAGTTAATATTTCAGAAATAAACAATATTTTTCACACTTTGACTTCCCCACTATTAGGCCCGTCAAATATTTCACCTCAAACCAAAGAGGTGCCGCACTGGTGTTAGAAAAAGTGGGTCATTGCGGTAGAACTGGGTAGTTTTAGTCATTTTAGAAGGTTCCTAATTTTTTTTAATAAATAATTTATAATTTATGATAAAAAAGGAACATGTGGATTGTATCGTAAAAAATATTTGCTCTAGTGTTATTAATTAGGGAGATAACAGAAGATTCATCTTTTATGGCCTATACGCCACCCGGATATGCTCTTAATATCGAATGTAATGAATGTATAATATGTAAAAAATGTATATAAATCGGATTCATATTGTAAACTTCGTTTTTGCAATAAAATGTTAATCATTCAGATGTGGTTTAATTTTTTTTCCACAGTTTAAAGACCTTACAGTTGTGAAACGCCTTTGATTTCCGAGGATGTCGCCGCCCGCGTAAGTATTTACGCGGCCTGCGTGTTTGCTAGGGGTCATACTAAAATAGAAATAAAATGATTTGGATATTATAATACTCATTATCATTTATTAACATTATCCAATCCAATACCTTTAAACGAGCAATTCTTGTATATATATATATATACCTAAACCTAAACGTTAAGTTGGAGAGGTCTCGTCTAATGAAGTCAACGCTCCGTCCCCCTCGTGCTCTAATCCAGAATCGCGAAACCTTTCAGCTCGAGTTACGTAAAAGCTTTCAGTGCCTACAATATTGCAATGCAGTGGACGATATGAATGACAAGCTCGTGGAAACTGTCCATGCGGTCGTAGCTAAGTTCTGCAAGACCCGCCGCAGAAAAACACAAAAACTCTCCGATTACACTCTTAATCTCATTAGACGGGAGATGAGGCTGCAACCGTCAACAGATTTTACAGCATACAGGCAACTGAACAGACAGATGTCAAAATGCATGCTTCGAGACTTACGCAACTTCAATACTGCTCGTATTAAAAAAGCGATCGAGCGGAACCAGGGCTCCAAAGTCTTTGCCAGAGATCTGTCTGCCAGTAAGAGCCAACTGTCAAAGCTGAAGACTGAGTGTGGCAGCATCGTTTCCGGGACACCTGAGATTTTGAGTGAGATTGAGAGGTTCTATGGGCAGCTGTACCTACACATCATCGTTGGAGCCACACGCAAGTGTGAGTAACGATCCAAGAGCAAGTCTTATCCGACACTATTCCGATGATATCCCGGACGTCAGTCTGAGCGAGATTAGAATGGCTCTCCAGCACCTTAAAAACGGCAGGGCTCCAGGCGAGGATGGAATTACAGCGGAGCTTCGGAAAGCGGTGGAACACCGGTACTTGAAGTCCTTCAGAAGCTCTTCAATTCCTTCCTCCATGGTGGCACTACTCCGGAGGCGTGGAGCAGAAGTGCGGTGGTCTTGTTCTTTAAGAAAGGCGACAACGCTCTCTTAAATAACTACAGACCGATTTCCCTTCTGAGCCGCGTCTACGTGCTGTTTTCGAGAGTCATTACGAATCGGCTCGCACGCAGACTCTACGACTTCCAGCCTCCCGAACAAGCCGGTTTCCGAAAAGGCTTCAGTACCATAGACCACATACATACCCTGCGGCAGATTGTACAGAAGACCGAGGAGTACAATCTGCCACTTTGTCTGGCGTATGTGGACTATGAGAAAGTCTTTGATTCCGTCGAAATTTGGGCGGTGCTACAGTCCCTTGACTGTCGGTATATCGAGTGCTGAAGTGTTTGTACAGTAGGGCTACGATGGCTATCCGAGTACAGAACCAGAGCTCGAAACCTATGCAACTGCAGAGAGGTGTAAGACACTAAGACAGTGTGACGTTATATCCCCGAAACTCTTCACCGCTGCATTGGAAGACGTTTTCAAGCTACTGGACTGGAAAAGATACGGTATTAACATCAATGGCGAGTACATCACTCACCTTCGATTTGCCGACGATATAGTCCTTATAACAGAATCGCTGGAGGACTTAAGCACTATGCTCAATGACCTCAATAGTGCCTCCCAAGGGATAGGTCTTAAGATGAACATGGAGAAAACAAAGATCATATTTAATGTCGGTAGTTGTTGGGAGCACCATGCTCGAAGTTGTTGACGAGTACGTTTACCTGGGACAAATAGTCCGACTAGGTAAGTCCAACTTCGACCGAGAGGTCAATCGACGGATTCAACTCGGCTGGTCAGCGTTCGGGAAATTACGACATATCTTCTCGTCAGGTATACCTCAATCTCTAAAAACTAGACGGATCTGAGACGTGGTCCTTCACTGCTGGCCGTATGAGGACGCTCAAGGTCGCTCAGCGAGCTGTGGAGAGGGCTGTGCTCAGTTTCTCTGTGTGATAAACTCAGAAATGAGGATATCCGCAGTAAAACCAGAGTGACCGACATAGCCCAACGGATTAGTAAGCTGAAGTGGCAATGGGCCGGCCATATAGCTCGAAGAACCGATAACCGATGGGGAAGAAAGGTTCTCGAGTGTAAGCCTCGTACCGTTAGGCGTAGTGTAGGGCGACCCCCCACTAGATGGAGTGACGACCTGGTAAGATATGCAGGAAGTCGATGGATGCAGGTGGCTCAGGACCGTGCTTTGTGGCATTACTTGGGAGAGGCCTATGTTTAGCAGTGGACTTGTGAAGGGCTGTAATGATGATATATTTATATATATATATATATATATATATATATATATATATATATATATATATATATATATATATATATATATATATATATATATATAATCTGAATCTCAGAAACAGCTCCAACGATTTTCATGACATTTAGTATGCAGAGGGTTTTGGGGGTTTTCGATCTAGCTAGGACTCATTTTTAGAAAATTTTGTTTTATCCATGTTTTTAGGTAATGAAAAACTACTACAATATCATTAGAATACGATAGTAAATTTTGACGGTGCCTAAAAGGTTATAACAGCTCAAATGGGATATCGGGCGGTGCCGTAATCATAGAAAGCGGGTTCTAGTCCAAAAGTCTCTGGTCTGACTCTTTTTTCCTTCTTTTGTGAGAAAATATATTATTTGGAGCCCATTTTTTTTGTATTTTTTTCAAACAGGAAAAATAAAGATCGAAAAATTTTATTCATATTTCATCAGTTTGAAATTTGTATCTAAATATAATTTACAAAAAACACGATTACCTAAAAAACATCCAGGTACTGCACATACTTATAAGTTAAAAACGTTTATTAAACAAGATCATTTTTTTACAAGAAAAAACACATAATTACTAGTGTTGCACTGCCAAATATTTTAGTGACTTAGAAAGAATAAGCATGGCCGTCAATTAAATTCAAATAACTCATATAAATGTAACAGTAATTCACCATTCAATATAGTATTACTTACACATCATCTTACACTGCATTCAACATATACATAGAGTAGAGATACATAATTTAAAATTTTTCTTGGTATCATAATCATAACACAAATTGTTATGTTAAG